TCACCACAAGCCTCACTCCCAAAATAGCCACCCCTGCACAGTAAAATTCCAGGGGAGAGGAGCCACTGGCAGAGCTTCTGCTCACCCTGCTCCCCTCCACAGCCCATCCCGGGCACACTCATCACACCACGAGTGCCCCTGTGAAAAATGTGCATTTTATGATTGGCTTTTGGCAAATGTTACAATGAATATGGTATGTGTTGTGTTAGAAAGTTATGCTGTATTAATTCTATTAAGTAGTGTGTTAAATATAGTTTTAGGCTATAACATAAGGTTAAAATAGAAACTGTGCTATGTAAGAGACTTTTTTTAAAGAAAGGACTCACATTGAGACAGCAGCCACAGGACACCTGAATCTTTCAGAGAAAGAGAATTTATTGCCCCATTATCAGAAGAAACGAACTTCTTCCTGCCTTGCTCAGTCCTGAAGGCACTGTTTAGGATTCAGAGGAAGAAGCTGAAACTGCCCAGACAGAATCCTGTGTTTGAATGGAATTTATGCATCATGTATGAGGTGTATGAACATGCAACAGGTTATTGTTTTTAAGGGTTACTCCTCTGTTAATGTGTGTCCATTTTCAGGCTTGTGCTGCCCAGAAAAGGTATCTGGACATCTGTAACTCTTTGTTTCTATTGTCTCATATTGTCCTAATCCAAACTGTCCAAATTATTACTACCCTAATTGTATCACTATTTTTATAACCATTTTATTACTATTAAACTTCTAAAATTTAAAAACAATTGATGAGCATTTTTCACACCCTCTACATCCCCACATGCCTGGAAGGTGGCCAAGTCCAGCTAAGACACCAATTTTCCCCCAGGAAAACATCCTGGCACTCGTTCTCCTTCCTTCTCTCTGCTCCTCACCACAGCAGAACCCATGGAGGTGCAGCCACCTCAGAGCCTTCACCCCTTCCTGGCTGATGGGGAAAGTGTCTGGGTTGGAGCTGGGTGGCTTTTGGTGGGGGAGGATTTGCTGAAGAGTTTGGGAAGCAGCTGCTGCCCCTGTCACCCAGGCAGGGAGGGGGGGATGCTGAACAGGAGCCAGGATCTTTGAGCCCAGCCACAAACCCAACACTGCTCATGACAAACCCCCTTGTTTCTCCTTTGCTTTTGTGAATTCAAGTTAGTCTAGGAGAGCTGCAAGCAGGGGCTAGAATCTTAAAAAGCAAAACTAACCACATTTAAGAAGATTTTTGCATGCCTGTAGCTCTGCTACTCCTCACCACTTCAAAGGTGCCAAGTTTCTCATCCCACAAGAAACTTTCACCACTTTTTTTGCTAACTCTGCCCTTTGCTCCACAAACACTAATTTTCCTCTAATGGATTAACATAATTGAATTAAACTTGGGCCAATTATTCCAGCAGCTTCCCTGCTAAGCTTAAAATTTGCTCCTTCTGAAGAAGGACTTACATGCCTAAAAGGCAGCCTGGATTTTTCCACCTCTATCATTTGGTCTAATAAAAGATATTACCTCTCCCCACAACCTGTACCTCTCTCTTGAGCACACTTGAAAGGAGAAAAATGTTTATCCAGCAAAGAAATGTAACTGGCAAGTTATTTCCCCTGACTGACTCTGATACTTCTGAAGGTTATTTGAGGGATCATAAAGAACTCATTCTCCCTCCCAGCCCAGCAACTTCCAGGGCTCAAAGGCTCAGCCCAGAGCCCATGAATTCCTGTTCTGTTGCAACATCCCAGATGTGATGCAGGTCCAATCCCACACTGCCCAGAGCACCCTGAATTTCAGCCCTGGGCACAATGGGTGCAGTGCCAGGAAAGGGAGAAGGAGACCATGGGCACCTTTGAACCTCTCAAAAAGAACAAAACCCGAACCAGAAAGCCTGATGTATCTTATTATATCATCAAGTGCTGCAATCCAACATGAATTCATTCTTCCTGGATGGCTCTCAGCATACAGAGAGAAAGCTGAGAGCAATAAGGAAGGGAAGAGTGAAAGCATTGCCTGCTGAGCAATGAGGAAAACACAGCAAGGGAGGGCTGAGACACCCATGGCACAGGCTCTGCTCTGCCCCCAGCAGCTCTGGAAGCTCTCTCTGCTTCAGCAGCCCCCCAAAACCCCAAGGAACTGGGCTGGATGGCCATGGCTGCTCAAACAAGCTCTCAGCAAGCTGCTGTGCCTCCTGCCAGCCCAGCCTGCAATCACACACACTCTGTCAGGTCAATGCTATAAACAGCAGCACTCTCCCAGCTCCCACACCTCAGGTGACCTCTCTGCTGAAGCAAAAGGCACACTCTGCCCAGCAAAGCACTAAAGAGCTAAACCTTTGAGTTGTGTGGATGGCCACTGAGCAGAACAGATCAGCCTTCCTGCAGTTTTTATCATCCCAATCACACACACAACATTTCATAACCACAGCTGAGAACACTTGAATCATTTTTAAAGCAAAAAGAATAAAACCTGAGCAACAAACAAGCTGGTGCTTTTTGTACCAAGTTCTGCAGGTTTTTTAATATTACTTTTGTTGGGATGCCATGTTTAAACACAGCAATTTTTAATACTTATTGGGCAGGGTTTTTCCACTGTGCTGCACTGAAGATGCAGACACCTTTAGAAGTGTCATAAACACTCATGTGACCAAATTACAAAGAGTCTTGAGGAGAGGTTGCAGATGGAAATGAACTGTAAGATGAATAAAAAGACTCAATGCCAAGGATTTGGGCTGGTCTCAAGCTGGCCCATGCAGAGATGCTGCAGCAGCCCAGGGGTACCATGGCTGCACAGGGCTGGCCCCAAGCACTGCACGACACAGAGACACCACAAGTCCCCACTTCCCCTCCTGTGGGCTCCATGCAAGGTCATGCAGCTTCCCTAGAACATGTCTGGGAGTGAACAGTCCTGTGCTGAACCCTGAGACACTGAGCAGGCTGTAAACAGGATCCTGGAAAAAGGAAAAAAAAACAAAGGTGGACGTGGAACAGGTTGTCTGAGCTGAGATCACCTCACCCCAACACATCTCCTCTGAAGGGAAGGAGGAAGGAAATTTCCAGAAGAAAATCAATGATGTGACTACAAATTCCCTGCACTTCCCTTGGAAATACTCCCTCATCCCAAAGCATGGAGCAAACAAACACATACACAGGGAAGAGGGAGAGAAGTGAAACTCTCAAAATTTAGGCTCAATTCCTGTGTACCAGCAGAGCTCCTGCAGTGATTCTTGAACAGACAAACACCTCCCAGTGACACTGATGGGGACACACAGCACCTCACCCATCTGATCCCCACAGAGCACACCCAGCACCTCCAACTGATCCCATCTGGACACATCCTGGTGGGGATGCTGCTGGTGAGGAGCCCCAGCAATGACACCTTGGTGAGGGACATGCACAGCCCCTTCCACCCACACACAAGTGCAAGCAGGACCCCAAACCTGCACAAGACTGCAAAAATTCCCAAAACCAGCCACGGTGCCTCTCTTCAGGACAGAATTCCCACAATTAATGCTGCCCTGGTGCACCCATGTGACATTTGCAGCTGGCAGGCTGAAGGCACCTTGAGCAGGTTCTATCTCCTGAGAACTGGGCTGGAGCCAGCAACTCCTTCCCTGCTGGTTCTCAGGGCAAGTCTGAGCTTTCCTTGTTAAAATAACCCACATTGCCTTGACAAAGCAGTGGCTTTTACCTTCCAAGTGAAAATGTTTCTAAAAAATTTTGGGGTTAGTCACCAGGGATTTTAAACTGAAATTTGTCATTCTTTATATCGAAGAAGCAGATCTGGACTTTCTCTTCTCTCCCCTTCCCTTTTTTTTTTTTTTAACCTAGCTTTAAATTAGTTCTCTTCCCACAAAATCCCTCTTCTAGGTAACAGAGAAAGAGCAAAAACAACACATGAAGCCAGGATGGGTAAATACCACTCTTCTCCTTTCTTCATAAGGGAGAATAAACACTTAAGGTGTGGCAGTGGCTCCACACTTTTCATTTTCCAAATTCAGACCACTACCAAATTCTGAATCACATTTGTGCAAGGCTTTTTATGAGCGTAGTTAGTGACAGGACAGTGGGGGATGGCTTCAAACTGACAGAGAGAAGATTTACACTGGGTATTAGGAGGAAATTTTTCCCTGTGAGGGTGGGCAGGCCCTGGCCCAGGGTGCCCAGAGCAGCTGTGGCTGCCCCTGGATCCCTGGCAGTGCCAAGGCCAGGCTGGATGGGGCTGGGAGCAGCCTGGGACAGCAGGAGGTGTCCCTGCCATGGCAGGAGCTGCAATGAGATGTCCTGTAAGGCCCCTTCCAGCCCAAACCATTCTGTGATTCTACACATCTGCAAGAACAAACCCTAAATTTAAGACATATCTCCTTTTTAATTCTTCTTTAAAGCATCATTTCAGCCAGCTCTGAGAAGTTCTGGGTGAACTTGTGTGACTGCTGCAAATGTGCAAGTGAAGTGCTCAGCTTCAAGCAGGACCCCTCCAAGATCTCTTCTCCTTTCTTGGGTCACCAGGTCAGGAAGCCACTCAGGCACTTCCAAGTGGTCCCAATTCCTGACATAAGAACTTTCTCCTAAAGAAAATTCATTATCTATAGAGATAAGCTGGAAATCATGATGTACCTCCAGAACTATAAATAATTCCCACCTAATAATGTTTCCCTCAGCACCTCAGAGCATCTGACACACAACTATGCCAGCAGAAGAGGGAGAAGGTGGAAGTAATCCAGGTCAGCACTTAGAAAAGCAATATATTCAAACTTTGTTTGAAACAGAAGATTCCTTGGGAGAAGATCTACAGGGAATGGAGATGCTCTGCAGAGAAATACAAGGAGAGACTCCACCTAGAACATGACCACCAGATCACGCTCAGAATTAGAAGAAAATTTGTCCAGTTTTGGCACCACTAAAATGATAAACATAAATCAGAAAGCAATGTAATAGTCAGAGCATCTCAGCAACTTCTTCCAGTCTGCTGCCACACTTGGTAGTCCCAACCAAAATTATCAGGCTGCAGAAAATGAATTCTCCAGGGGAATCCAGTTCTTACCCATCTTTCCATCTACATCAGGCCTCCATTCCACCGGTCCCAGACTCTTGTGCCTTATCCTCCTCTCTCAAGCATCCACCCTGTAATGAACATACACAGAGATTACAGATGAATTTTGACATGACAACAGGGTCATGGAGCACTTTTCACAAAGCCTGTCCCCACCATCACCTGGCAAAGAGGAGAACCTGCTTTAGGAATGGAGAGCAGGAGTCTGCCCTCCTCTGCACGCACCAAAGGTAACACACCACAAACCTGGGACCTCAATGGTTTTCAAATCTTGGGGTGAACAACCTGGGCTTCCTTAAGAGCAGAACATTTTAATTACATGATATGTTAATGTGTTTTTACATGATTAATGTAACCCTAAAGCAACACCATCTTTAACACTTTGGATTCCCCAGCATCCCTGTGGGATAACACTCACTTGGGGAACAGACTGACAGCAGGACGTGCAAAAGCAGTCCTGAATCAAAGCAGAAACCTAAATTTAGGCCTTCCAAATGGCAAGCAAGGTTCCCCAAGGCTGGTCCAGCTTTCCCCTGACTGCTTGGGCAAACAGCTGAGCACAGGCAGCTCCCAGCAGCAGTGACTGCCCCACACACCCCTCATGGGAGCTGTGTCCCCAGGAGCCCTCCCAGAGTTTCTGCCTTCAATCTGCCCCCAACACCAGCACAGAAATGGGCTCAGGGACCTGCCACCCTGCATTCAGCCAAACTCCTGCACCCAGAAAGGTTTTTTGGGGTTGTTTTGGCCACCAAGAAACTAAGGCACACTTGAGCCTGCTGGAGCCTGTCCTGCTCACTAATGAAAAACCTCATTTTAGACTGAACAAAGGCAAAATCCACCTAAAGATGGGCACCTTTTAAAGGACACTGTGAGAGAAGACAACATCAAATTCCACTTCAGCTGCCTGTTAAGCCCTCAGATTTCTTAGTCATAAACCTGTGTGATAGCACAAGGAAAGGGAGAAACACCTCAAGAACTTGATCAGACTTGCACAGGGAGTGAGACATTCCTGCCCTGCAGCCACTGCAGGCTGCCCTGAAGTCAGTGAGGGCTCCAGGACACTGACTTGGATATTGGAGTGTTAAATATGAGGCACTGGCCACAAATGGTAGGAAAAGGCACTTTGAAAACCTCCTGGCTTGGTCAAATCAATTCAAACACAGCAACAAATCTGAAGAGGACCAGGAATGGTCCCAAGCATGGATTAAAATGATTTTCTGCAGCTCTGGTGCCTCAGAGCTGCCAAGCACAGGGTTATTTATCCAACCTATTGTGAGAAAGACGAGCAGGAAGGGAAGGTGGTAAGAGAGCAGCAGAGGCAGAGACATCCAAGTGCCCTGAGAGTGTTGTTCCTTCTCCTGCAGCTTCCTCCCAGGACAGCACCCTCAGCCCGAGAGCCCAGGGCCACCAGGAACTCTGCTCTGTCCATTTCCAGCTCCAAGGAGGAGAAAAGGAAGTCATTAAACAGCTTGAATGGTTAAAAATCCTACTTAGAGAAAGAACTGCTCAGTCTGTGCAACACTGAACCAAGAGGGAGCAGAAAACCAGCAAGAAAGCAGAGTGAAAATTCCATCTGATTATAACAAGAGCAGGAAACAGCCCAAACCTTCACTTTTGCTTTCAAAGCTGCTGTGACACTTCCAGGAATTAAGCTGTGTGCATAATTTGCACTGAGGGCCACAGGCAGATAGCCTGGATCAACTGTAAATTCCTGGGACAGCCCAGCCTAACTCTCCTATCAGAGTAATAGATTTTTCTAAAGTCTTCCTGGAGACCTTCCAGACCTTTCCAAACCATATCTAGTCAGAAAAACAAGCATCTACAGGAACTGTGCAAACGAGCCCTGGAAAAAACAGGTGACCTTTCCATCAGAAGAGCCCTCCCCTGTGCTGCTCTCCATCACCTCTGCCCCAGCAAAGCCCTGAGACCCCCCTGCCCAGCCCTGCTGAGCAAACCAGCCCCTGCACACAGGGCAGGAAATCTCCACAGATACACAGGAGAAAGGAGGGTTTTCTGGTTTAGCAGAAAATGCTAAATATTCTCAATGCTGAGGACAGGCAGCCTTCAAACCGGACTGCAAACACTGATGATTTCCGTGGCTTCCCAAAAATACATACCAGCAGCTTCCTGTTCCAGAAGGACAAATTCCTGTTTCTAGTACAAATTCTGTCCTATTATTATGTCCCTTAAAAAACAGGGAGGGGGGAAAAAATAAGAGGGAAAAAAAAAAAAAAAGGGAAAATCTTTTTCCTACAGATGCTGTTCCAAGCAGCTTCTCCTCCCACTCCGCTCCCTGAGCAGTGCTGGCATTTTGGGACACAGAACCTGGGAGCATCTGAAACTGGGCTCCCACTGGCCACTGCACCCACAGAACTCTGTAAATCTACTGGAAATCTCCCTGGCAAGCAGTGAGAGAGCTCAGCAAGGTGCTGGCTCCCAGGGGTGCTGGGGCAATGCATTCCAGGTTTGTGATGTGCATGCAAGAGACTCTGCCTGCCCCAGTCTGCTCAGGGAAATGCTGGAAGTTACTTCACCTGCAGGAAAGCCCAGCACAGATGCTCTGATCCAGGAGAAAATATAATTATAATAATATTAATAATAATATCTATATTATTATTATTAATATTACTGTTATAATAATAAACACAGTAATAATATAATTATAATTTAGTTATTATCATCATAATATTACTTATACATATATTATAAGTATATATTAATATATATACTTATATATATTAATATATATACTTATATATACTTACTTATTAATATATAATATATACATAATATTATTATAATATTATTATAATAATCAATTGTTTATCAGTTTTGATTTTCCTGAGCTAAACTTAGCAGACAGAGTGGCTCAACTTCTTTATAGCTCCATTAGTGCAGGGTATGAGTATCTACATGAGAGATGTATGCAAGGTTATTAATCCACTTGGAAAATTAATCCCTGCTTTTCTTTTTTTCTTCTTCCCATACTCCTGGCTGGGAAGGGATTAAGGAAGACTGAGCTCAAGGGAGACAACAGTTCAGCTGCAACAGATCTGCATCCTGCCTCTGAGTTAGATTTGTAGATCTAAATCACAGAAACCAAAGCAGGGGAGAAGGGGATGGAGAAGTGTGATTTTCTCCTGGCTGTAAAGGAAGATAAAACAAAGGGACCAGGGGATTTACTGTGAGGAATTATGTAGGATGAAGGTTATGAAAGCAGGAGGATGCAGTTCAGCACTGAGAGCTGGAGTGACCTGCAGTCTGCTATTGATATTTGGGATTTCCAGTATCACCTGGAACACCCCAAAAAGGGTTGTTCCTACCCTGCACAGGCTCAGCATCCCCCATAAAACACAGATTTCATGGCAGCAAATCTTGCCACTACTGCAGCACAAGCAAACAGCATCTCCCTGTGCAGTTTATCACCCCCAGGCTTCCAGGGAAAGCAGCACCTCTTTATTCCTGCCTGAGCACCACTGCAAAAAATAAAAAAAAAAAAAAAAAAATCCACAGTTGCCCCTGAAATAGGGCTCGGCTGGAAAGCTACTCAAAGTAGCATTGCTAAAATTGGGACTTTCCTTGTTTTTTCAAGCAGCAGGGAACATGTTGGGCTCAGAGAGTTTAACAAGCAAGAGTCAAACGGAAAAAATCTCTCTCCTTTTTAAGAGTTGACCACATTAACTTTCAGCAAGTTTCCGGGAGTCCTGCCAGAGCACTGGAGTTTTGTATACTACGGAACTGTTAAAAATATTATTGTAAATGTTATTTTCAAAAAGCTTCAGAGGCCAGAGCTGGGGTAGTGTAAAAAAACAACAGCGAAGCAAATGAGATTGTTTTAATGGTGAGAACACAAATGGATGTGTGCTGATAGCTCAGGCAGCCTGCAGGCTTGGCAAAGAGGGATTCAAAGGCAAAGGAGAGCTGGAATATTACAGGTTAGTTGGAATATTCCAGGTTTTCTCTGATCAGCCCAACCTCATCCTTACAGTTTTCTCTAAACCACAGAACATTCAACCTGGAACTTGGATCCATATTCTGGGATACACAAAACAAGAGCTAAATTTTGGTGCCACTTCAGACACAGAAGACCCTGCCCTGAAGGCATTTTCCATCCAGGTTATCCAAAGGATACACCACACAAGGGAAGTAAAAAAAAATAGCAATTTAAGACTGTGCATCTCTGTAGATGTAGCACTTAGGGACAAGGTTTAGTCATGGATTTGGCAGTTCTGGGTTAATGGCTGGACTCTGTGATGTTAAAAGTTCTTTTCCAGCCTAAATGATTCTGATTCCATGTTTATGAGCATGCAGCTGGGATGGACTTTCTGCAGACACGTGTGCAGCCTGGCCAGGTTTGCAGGTGCATCTCCCCAGAGAGCTCAAGGGACAAAGTTCATGTGCCAAGATGAGAAGAATAAACCTCCCCTGAGGTTTTATTCAGGCTGCTGAGCTGGAGGTGACCTGCACAGAGCAGCAGAGCTCATGGAAGGAGCCAGCCCATGCTCTGGGAACCACAGCCCATGAAAGCCAAGGAGCAATTCTGTATCAGCACCATCAGCTGAGGCTTTGTGTTCACAGGGGTCTGAGGATGAGGGAAGAGATGAGGATCTGACTCCATGTTTCAGAAGGCTTGACTTATTACTTTATGATATATATTATATTACAACTATACTAAAAGAATAGAAGAAAGGATTTCATCAGAAGGCTAGCCAAGAATAGAAAAAGAATGATAGCAAAGGCTTGTGGCTCAGACTCTCTGTCTGAGCCAGTTGGGCTGTGATTGGCCATTAATTAGGAACAACCACATGAGCCCAATCCCAGATGCACCTGTTGCATCCCACAGCAGCAGATAACCATTGGTTACATTGTGTTCCTGAGGCCTCTCAGCTTCTCAGGAGGAAAAATCCAAAGGAAAGGATTTTTCATAAAACCAAGGCTTCTTCTCCCCAGTTTGGGCCATGACACCCCAAAACTGCTCAAGAATCTTTCTCACAGCACCTGCTGCTGGGAGAAGAGCTCTGTGTTCAAAAGCCATCGTGCTCAGTGGAGGATTCCTTCAGCCAGTGACCCA